TAAATGCAATTAGAGCAAATATAACTATAAAAAAGGACTATGATAAGCTATGTAGAATATTCTCAGGCCCTATCCCACATCTCTTCTGTCAGACAAATCTGAGGTTGGGGTCCAAACAATATGTATTTAACATGATTTACATGCCTGTGTTTAGCAATTCCTCATATAGAAAAATCCACCTATCCTCTCTTTACATAAGACATGTATCTAAAACAATATGTATTAGAGATGCTGAAAATAATATACAATGAAGATAAAATAAAGAAGATACAAAAGCACATTAATAATGGAGAAAACAATTTCTCTCAATTTATGAAATCAAATTTATAAGAACATATAAAAGTAAGAATATAAAGAAAAATAAGCCAAGTCCAATGATTCATGCCTATAATCCCAGTGATCTGGGAGGCTGAGTCAAGCAGGAGGATTGCAAGTCTGAGGTCAGCTTGGGCAACTTAGGGAGATCCTGTATAAAAATACAATAAAAAGGGCTCATGGACTAGGTCTATTCTAAAAAAGGACGGGCAAAATACTCTGACCAAAAAAGTAACAGCAATTACAAAACAAAAACAAAAACTTTTTTTTTTTTTTTTTGAAGATCTAATGATTTAGGCCAGGGGCAGTCAATGTACCTTAAATCCCAACAATCTGGGAAGCTGAGACAAGAAGACGTTAAATTCAAAACCAGCCTCAGCGACTTAACTGGAACCTCAGCAATGTAGAGAGACCCTATCTCAAATAAAAGTAAGTTTGGGCTGTGGTTGTAGCTCAGTGCTAGAGCACTTGTCTAGCAAGTATGAGGCACTAGGTTCAATTCTTAGCACTATATATAAATTTAAAAGAAAAAGAAAAAAAGAGTTTAATAAACTCTTTGGCTAAAAAAGGATATTTTAATAAACTTCAAAATAATGACAAATATTACTCGTGAAAACAAAGTACAGTAAAAACTATGGAACATATTTGAGCAAATGCTTAGAGAAGAACCTTTAGAATAAATCTTTCCAATATTTAAAGAAGAAATAACAACAAAAAGAAAATTTAAAAAAAAGAAATTTAAAAAATTCATGAGTAGATTCTTAGGGAAAAATTTAAAAAGGAATAAAAGAATTATAGAGAAAAAAAAAATAAAAGCAAAACCCTAGTAAAAATAACCTCTAAAACTGAAAATGTAAACAAAAAGAAAAAGAACAGAACAGAGACAATTATATTTCATTAACCCTAAGGCAGAGATGACTTAACATGTGAATTTCAGTAAAGTTTTTTTTAACTTTTATTTTATTTTTTACACAATTTATTTATTTAACCATACGATTTATTTTTATTTTTTTAGTCATACATGACAGCAGAATGTATTTTGACATATAATACATACATGGAATGTACATACATCAATCATATTGTCTATTCTATTCTGCTGCCCTTCCTATGCTCCCGACTCCTCCCCTCCTCTTCCATCCTTTCTCTCTATCCAATCTAATGTGACACACTTTTTTTTCCTTTTTCTCATTACAACATCATATATATATATTCTGTATAACAATGAGGTTCTCCTTCCATCTTCTGTGCAACTCCCCTTCTCCCTTTTTCCCTCCCACCTCTCTTTCCTATTTAGTGGTAGTCTTCTTCTCATGCTCTTCCTCCCTATCCCATTTTGAGTCACCCCCCTTATATCAGAGAAGACATTAGGCATTTGTTTTTTAGGGATTGGCTAACTTCACTTAGCATAATCTGCTCTAATGCCATCCATTTGCCTGCAAATGCCATGATCTTATTTTTTTAGTGCTGAGTAATATTCCATTGTGTATAAATGCCACATTTTTTAATCTATTCATCTATTGAAGGGCATTTAGGTTGGTTCCACATTCTAGCTATTGTGAATTGTGCTGCTATAAACATTGATGTGGCTGTGTCCCTGTAGTATGCTCTTTTTAAGTCTTTTGGGTATAGTCAGAGAAAGGGAATAGCTGGGTCAAATGGTGGTTCCATTCCCAGCTTTCCAAGTAATCTCCATTCTGCTTTCCAAATTGGCTGTACCAATTTGCAGTCCCACCAGCAACTTTTATTATTTAGTTGTGGATGGACACAATACCTTTATTTTATTTTTTTCGTGGTGCTGAGGATGGAACCCAGTACCTCATGCATGCTAGGCAAGTGCTCTACCTATGAGCCACAATCAACTCCTTCACTAAAGTTTTAATAGATATTAATAATATTATTACTGATTTTAAATTTCCCAAGTTACTTTTTTTTTGGGGGGGGGGTTGGCTGTCTGTGAATTAACCCACAGGTGCTCTATCACTGAGCTACATCCCCAGCCATTTTATTTTGAGACAGGATCTTACAGCTGGCTTAGAACTTACAATCATCCTCCTACCTCAGCCTCCCAAACATCTAATTACTTAATATGGGAAAAATGATATACAACAGATCAGGGCTTAATGTACTACATTCCTAATGAGAAAATAAAAGATTACTTATCCTTTGTAATTAAAGCCCCTCATATTGTTATAGGCATTACAATCAACATCCTTCATACACACATTAGAACTGAATTTTTCACACTATAAGTAACAAGGCTGAAGTAGTTAACATTATCTGAGTACCAGGTAAAATGGTCCTTTCAACAGTATTTTTCTTCTGGTTTAAAAAATATTTTCAAAATATCAATTAAAATGCTCTAAAGGAAAACAAACTCTTCAATGTATCCTGTGTAAATGATGACCTATTAAAATGGGTTGGGGAAGAAACCACACTACCTATTTTATAAAGAGTTTTACTAGAACATACCCAAATTCATTCATTTTCTTACTGTCTATGACTACTTCAGTGCTACAATGCCTGAGCTGGGTAGTTTTAACAGAACCCCATGCCTTACAAAGTCTAAAACACTTATTGTCTGGCTCTTTACAGAAAGTTTGCTATCTCCCTGTTCTCAGTGTGTCCTCTTTTTTCCAACTGTCACTGTTGCCAGGCACGGTTGTGCACGCCTGTAATCCCAGCAGCTTGGGAGGATGAGGCAGGAAGACTGTAAATTCAAAGTCAGCCTCAGCAACTTAGAGAGGCCCTAAGCAACTCTGCGAGACCCTGTCTCTAAATAAGATATAAAAAGGGATGGGGATATGGCTCAGTGATTAAGTGCCCCTGGGTTCAATCCTCTGTACCAAAAAATCCCCCAAAACAATAATAAACAAAAACAAACAAATGGCATGGTTAAAACAGCTCTAATCACAACTATTCACTAGGCAACCTAGAAGGACCCCTAATCCTTAAAGGAACTCAAAGACCAAAGTTACCATACAAATCTGTACAATTCACCACATGACTGTTATATGACAAGAAATCAACTCCTGCATTCCTTAAACTAGTATAGTTAAGGTTCATTGTAGTCACTTAGCTTTACATAATTAGTACACTTATTAGTCTTGTCACACTGCTTTACCCACCATGTCTCAGAGATGCCTAACAAATGTTAATTAGTGATCTGTGCCTCTCTTGAACAACTGATTCACATATTTAACTGCCTTCTCACCCTCTCTATTTAGATGTCTACTAGGTATTTAGTTTACTGCCCCAAACCAATTCCTCCTGAATTCTTCTATCTTTAAATAGCAACCTAATCTCCCAGTTTCTCAGGCATACTTCTCTTTTTCTCAGATCACACACTCATTATACTATCATTTTTTTTTGGCTGTATCTTCAAAATATGCCCCAAATCTGGCCATGTCTCACCTCCTTATTGGGACCACCAAGGCCTAAGGCACATTATATCTTGTCTAGATCATTTACTAGGTTCCTCATTGGTTTTGCTCCTTTTGCTTTTATGTCTTTAAAATTCTCAACAGAGCAGTCACAGTAATATTGTCACAATAAATCAGGTCACTCACTGCTCTACCTAGAAGCCTTCTTCTATACTTACAGAGAATCGAGGGGCTAGAAATAAGGAGACATACTCTGAACTTCCTATGAAGTGTATGTATTAAATTTTAAGAATTATATTATTTCTTCTTAAAAGTAGCAGAGAAATGATCTAATAGGATTAGTAATAAGTTCCAAAGTAAAAGATTAAATGTCAAGAAGCAAAAAAATGTTAAACTATAATGACTCCAAGTAGGAAAACAAAAGGAAATGAAACTAATGGGATAAAATTCAATTCTGAGGCATTGAACAGTGAAAGGAGGGCAAAAAGACAGCAGTTAAATTTTAAAGAAAAGTATCTACACACTAGTTTTTATTAAAAATATTTTTAGTTGTAGATGGACACAATAACTTTTTATTTTTTTAATATTTATTTTTTAGTTATAGTTGGACACAACATCTCTATTTTATTTATTTTTATGTGGTGCCAAGGATTGAACCCAGAGCCTCGCATGTGCTAGGCGAGTGCTCTACCACTGAGCCACAATCCCAGCCTGTAACTTTATTTTTTTATGTGGTACTGAGGATCGAACCCAGTGCCTCACAAGTGTTAGGCAAGTCCTCTACCACTGAGCCACAAACCAGTCCTACACTCTAGTTTTTGAAGAACTGAATGCTTAAGAAAATGAGTCTAAGTAACCAAAGAAAAGTAAAAAATGGAGAGTGTCAGTGAAAGGAAAACAAGTATGACAGAGGCTATAAAACTCAAGAAAATTGGCCGTGGGTGGTGGTGCACGCTTGTAATCCCAGTGGCTGGGGAGGCTGAGACAGGAGGATTGCGAGTTCAAAGCCAGACTTGAGGCACTAAGCAACTCAATGAGACCCTGTCTCTAAATAAAAATACAAAATGAGGCTGGGGATGTGGCTCAGTGGTCGAGTGCCCCTGAATTCAATCCCTGGTAACAACAACAACAAAAAAATCATAAAATTAAGGCTATAATTGAGAGACTAGTCTCTAAATTAGAGGTTAGAGAGGCAACAAATCTTCTAGAATCTGAGCAAAAGAAAGCAAGGAATCTGGAAACCCTCCCTGAATAACTATAATGAGCCTTTATCCGATTCATAATTGCCAGGTTCTCACTCACCTAGAGAACTCTTTATATTTCTTCTCAATCATCCATTGATCTTTTTGTTTTAACTGGTGACTTTAAACTTGTAAAGAAACAAAGTGACACAGAATCTGCGATTATGGTTGGGAGGCAAAGCAGCATGCTAGAATTCAGGCTTAGTTCTTAAAATCCTCAAAGGTTTTCAAAGATAAAGAGAACGCAGTTCCTGGAGATTCATGAAATATCTGGCCTGCAATAGATAACAAGGTTATTATGGTTTGGCTATGAAGTGACCACTCCCCCCAATAAGCCCTTGTGATAGACAATGCAGAAATGTTCAGAGGTAAAATGATTACATTATGAGAGCTGTAGCCTAATCAGTGAATTAATCCACTCAATGGATTAATAACTTGAAAGGATTACTATACTGGGTAGTTAACTGTAGGCATGTGGGATGTGGCTGAAAGGGATAGGTCACTGGTAGACTGTCCTTAGGGATTATATTTTTCACTCACAGCTCCTCATGCCCTGTTTCCTAGGTGCCAAGGGCAGAGCAGGATTTCCTCTACCATGCCCTTCCCCCATGATGTTCTACCTCACCGTGGGCTCAGATCATTAGAATAAGGCCACCATGAACTGAACCTTTGCAACCATGAACTAAAATAAAACTTCTCCTCCTCTAAGTTATTCTTGTCAAATATTTTAGTCACAGCAATGAAAGCTGAATAACACATTATGATAAGGCTTGGGCACATATACATATTAAGAGTACTTATAATTTCCATCTCAGGCTAAACCCATTATTCCATTTTAAAAAGTTCCACATATGCTGGGTGTGATGACACATGCCTGCAATACAGCTACTTGGGAGGACGAACCTGGAAGATAACAAGTTAAAGGCCAGTATGGGCAATTTAGGGAGTCCCTGTCTCAAAAAATAAAAAGGGCTGGGGGTATGGTAGTGCACATCTGTAATCCCAGTGAATTAGGAGGATTCAAAGTCAGGATTAGCAACTCAGCGAGACCTTCAGCAACTTAGACATTATTTCAAAATAAAAAGTAAAAAAGTCTGGATATGTAGCTCAGTGATAAGCACCCCTGGTTCAATCCCTAGTTGTATAATATAAAACAAGGCTCTACATATTTCAGATATGGAAAACAGAAGATAACTTATTTTCAGAAACTATGAGTCTGAGTTATCATAGTCCTTCAGAATCACAACCTCAACAGGTTTTTTAAAAATATACATATTTTTAGTTATAAATGAACACAATACCTTTCTTTCTTTCTTTATTTATTATGTGGTGCTGAGGATCAAACCCAGTGTCCCACATATGCTAGGCAAGCACTCTACCACTGAGCTACAGCCCTCTCAACAAGTTTTATTAAGCAGGTATCACCCATGGCCTTGCTCTTGATTGAAATCAAATTTTTGGGTACCATTAACATCATTTCTCTTATAAATGTGAAGTCACCAACCTTGAGCAATATGGACAAAATATTAAGGAAATTATTGATAGTAGTCATAGCTCAGAGCTCTTAAAAATTTTAGAGGCCTAAGTTTTATTAGGTTAGTTTACCTTAGGAGAAATTAAATGTAGTAAGTGTCCCATAATTATATGAATGGGCATATACATTTATCTAGTATATGTTATGAAGATAACTTGATTTTCAGTTTTTAATGGGTTATGACAGGGAAAAAGGTCAAACTTACTCAGAGGCTTTTCTCCTACTCAGATGGTGAGAGCCTTAAAACCTGGCTTGACAGTGCTATATGAGTGCTGAAACAGAGAATACAAAAGGGAGAATGAATGGAGGCAGATTATAAGAGGTAGATATTAGTAAAATATTTTGGATGTAAAGACTCTGAAATTCCTGTGCATAAAAATGGACCCCTAATATTGGAATTGTTGCTGCTGATTGAGTACTTTGAGGTGAAAAAGATGACCAAGGCCAAAAATGTAGGAACACCAATAACAGATGGACAAGGAGAAATAAGACCTGCATTCTTTATAGCTTTTACTAGTTTTTTCAAAACTATTGTTTCTATAAGAGTTTTTGTACCCTGGTACTTTTTCATTTAATTGAGACTGTGGGTAGAAGAAAATTTGTTTCACTACATTTACATAGATCATTTGGTATGGGGAAAAACTGGTTAGGACTCAAGACTTTCATGCCCTTTGTGACAAACTAGGGAGTCTTAAATAGGTTCCTTGACCTTTCTTCACTAAAGGCAGGACAACTAGCTTTCCAATTCTGTGCTGTGCAAACTACCTTTTAAAGCTATTCCTTAATTCAAGACTTCTCAAAGCAGGTCTACCAAAGTTTCTCCAAAGTATTAAGAAATTCTTACTAGAAATCTAAGCACCCAATAGCACATTATTATGAAATATTTTTTTCTTTTTTAAAAAGGTAATGTTGATTTCATCTTCTACTCCACAATGGGTCTGTTTTTATATGACACTTTAAAAATTACCAGCTTAGTTCCTTAGCCCTTTCCCTTTCTTATTTTCCAGAAAAGCGCACCTTTATTGTTTTAGAAAGGAGAATAGGGAGGATTAGCGGTTACTTTTCATCCTCATAAACTTGGAACTATTTCCAACTCTGCAACCCCAAACTAACCCTCACACCCTTGGTCACCCACCCTCAAATTCATCCCAGATTCCTCCAGCACCCCTGCTCCCATCCGCAAAAGCTCTGAACTCAGCAAGTCACAGGAGGCGACATCTGTCACTTCAGCCGCCCCAGGCACTTCGCAGGCGCTGCGAACCCTCCCCTAAAGCCTCCCTGGCCGGGTTCAGGCCTTAGAAACCCAGGTCCTACCAGGCCGAAACCAAACTCACCAGCAGACAAAGACGACGATGGCGAGCCAGAAGTTCTGCGCCTGCGCACTCCTGAGGCGGGTTAGCGTTCCCAGAGGGCCCCTGGCCTCCGCCACGCCGGGCTCCGAACCCGCCAGGACCAACCGATTTTGGCGGGTCGTCTGCTCTTTTTTTTAACCGTGGACTACATTTCCCATTAGTTTCAGTGGTTCGAGTGGCCTTTTCCACGAACTCTTTCTGCCAGAGCTTGTGGGACTGTCTCCCCGGTGGAGGGATGTAAGCAGGACTCAGCTAATTCTACCTGCGTTTACCTCCGGGAGAGGGCAGTGGTGTCCCAATAATAAGCGCAGCTCGGACAGGGTGGCCCAACGTTAAGAAGGGCTCCTGGGGTCTTCCAGACGCAGTTCGGTGATGTAGCAACTCCCTGGCCAGCTCGAGCCTGGCGCCCTCAAGTCTTTCGCGGCGCGGCTCCGAACTACATTTCCCAGAGGGCGCTGGGCCCTTGGCCCCTGCCCCTCCACGCGCGAGCCTTAGTGTCTGAACCGTTCTCTGCAGTTGCAAGCGACGCGTTCCTGGGGAGGCCAAAGATGGAGTTTACAGCCCGGGGCGGGGACTTAGAACGAGCCTTAAAGCCTGTTGGGTGAATGCGAGATGAGCTGTTGTTAAGTGGTGTGATTTTTATTTATTTTTCCCCCAGCGTGGCTGTAACACCCTTTGTGCGGATGTGAGAAGTATTATGTGGGCGTGCTTTAAGTCCCTTTGGTATGCTTGTAATGTGTGGCCGTATGTAACGCTGTACCTGTAGATGTGCGATAACTGTGGAAAGCGACTGTGTGCGCCCGCGCGCACGATTGATGGCGCCTCTTTGTGGGAAGGAATAGGGAGGGAGCTTTGTGACGCTGTGGCTGTGACTGTGTCTGTGGGCATGGTGACGGCAGCATTGCGTGGGAGATGAACAGGAGACTATGACTATGTGATATAGATACGTAGCCATACGTGGGAGCACAGGACCGCTCGGCCCCTCGACAGTAAAGGAGCACTTTTCTGTGACGCCAAGTTTGAGTAGAAGCCCCAGTCCACTACTAATAGCCCTCCCACGGTGAGGGGCAGGCTAACTAAGCTCTAAACTTGCCCTGTGCTGAGACTCAGGAAGGTTTGTACCTATTTCTGTCCTCCAAAAGAGGTGCCCAGGGGCTGGGGATGTAGCTCAAGTGGTAGTGCGCTCGCCTAGCCTGCGTGAGGCACTGGATTTGATTCTCAGCACCACATAAAAACGAAATAGATATTGTGTCCACCTAAAACTAAAAAATAAATATTAAAAAAGAGGTATCCAGAGGGGGAGGAAATAATGGTTTTTAACATCTGAAACTTGTGTGTTACGTTGTTTAATGTTTTCTTTTTGTTCCTGAGATGCTTCATTTATTCAGGACATTTTCTTTTTCTTTCTTAGAATTGTCTAAGACAGACCATCAAGTAAGCTGGAATCTACTCTCTGGAAATATCTTCCTTGTACTCCCGAATTTTCTCCTATTAATGTGGCATATGGTTCAGTATATCTATGCTATTTTCTTTTTACATATATACACAAACATGCACATGTATGTAAATATAGGTACATATATGTATAATGTTTTCATCTGAATCAGTTACTTTGTCACATATGTGGCCAATCCAATATCCATTCCCTCTTCTTTATTGCTAAAAAAGTCCTGACCTTGTTTTAAGAAAAATAAACAAAAAACTCTGTGTTCTAACTTCTCCTGTAGTTGTAAGCAAAAGTTATTAGATTGAGTTTCTCAGATAATTCTTAAAAATGCAAGGTGAGGGCAGGGCCAGACTCAGTAAGCAGGTATTCTTTTGGCCTTTCGCCACTTTCCATCTGGAATGTGGATGTGGTGCCACATGTGAAGCATTGAAGCATTTATCTTAAAACCATGCATTTACCATGAAAGGATGAATAGGAAGTTTGCTATATTAAATTAAAATAGAAGATTTTAAGTTTCTGTTTTGTGAAAGCAATTTGGCAAAAAAAAAAAATTCTACCTATATATACATGAAATGTGTAGTAGAATTTTAATTTTCTTCATTGTAATTAAACTCAAATCGGTGTTTCCTTGTCTTTTGTTTAGTTTCTTCCATGTTCAATTTTTTTTTTATTGTTGGTCGTTCAAAACATTACACAGTTCTTAATACATCATCTTTCACAGTTTGATTCAAGTGGGTTATGAACTCCCAACTTTACCCGGTATACAGATTGCTGTATCACATCAGTTACCCTTCCATTGATTGACATATTGCTTTTCTA